GGACTGTCTCCCTTTTCATCTAATTCTGCAACATCTAAGGCCCCTTCCACACAGCTGTAAAAATTCCACATTGAACCAGATTATATAGCAGTGTGGACTCAAGATAACCCAGTTCAAAGCAGATATTGTGGATTATCTGCCTTGATATTATGGGATTGTGTGGAAAGGCCCCAAGACAGGAATGGGCAACTGTAGAGGGGAAAGAGCTACTTGCTCATGCACAAGTCACATTTTGGTGACCTGGAAGTGATATGACATCTGTCTCAAAATTTGGGGCATTTTTGGAAGCAGGTAAGGGTGTTTTGGAAGGAAAGTAAACTATCTGTTCAGGTCTCAATGCTGCACTTCCTATTCTTTTCTCCCATTTAGATAAACTCAATTTCCTCTCTCAGATAACCTATGTAATGTTGACCTTTGTTGCAATTTTGGGTGCTTGCATCCAGTGTTCAGAGGGAAAAATCATGTCCAAATTGGTGCAATTTATTTTTAACATGACAGTGTGTTTAGAGGCTTTGGAGGTGGCATCTCTGTATCTCAAGGGCTCCATACCACCCATGGAATATACTTTGCCACTCTTCCCCTTTGTGAAGATGTTTTTGGGATGAAGTCACACAACTCATGGAGAATTAACTGTGAGGAAACATGCACAGAAATCAGCTGTACATCTTCCATCCAGACTGGGACATTTTGGAGTTTGTGTAGACTCGAATAACTTTTCCAACCTCCTACAAAAATGTGTTGTGTGCCTCCAAGCTGCCAGTTGATTTATGTGACCCAATAAATTTCATAAAGTTTGTTTAAGTGAGCAATACTCAGAGGTGGCTTTGTCAGTTCCTTCCTCTGAAATATAGTCTACAGCAGGGGTCCTGAAACTAAGGCCCAGGGGCCAGATGAGGCCCTCCAAGGTCATTTACCTGGCCCTCGCTCAGGGCCAACCTAAGTCTGAAACTACTTGAAAGCACACAACAACAACAATCTTATTTCATCAGCCAAAAGCAGGCCCACACTTCCCATTAAAATACTAATAAGTTTATATTTTGTTAAAATTGTTCATTTTAATTATTGTATTGTTTTTAAGTGTTTTTTGCACTACAAATAAGATATGTGCAGTGTGCATAGGGATTCATTCATGTTTTTTTCAAATTATAATCCGGCCCTCCAGCAGTTTGAGGAACTGTGGCCTGGTCCTCTGTTTAAAAAGTTTGAGGACCCCTGGTCTACAGCAACTAGTCAGGATCTCCCATTCAAGTACGTACCCTGCTCAGCCTTAAAGACCAGACAACATCTGGTGCCATTAGAGCAAGCATGGACAAACTTGAACCCTCTAGGTGTTTTGGACTGCATTGGCCGTTAGGAATTGTGGGAGTTAAAGTCAAAAACACCTGGAGGGCCAAAGTTTGCCCATACCTGTTTTAGAGTATCTAGGCCCTCAGTCTAAAGAAGCAAGGTATAATAAAGAAACTCTTGAAATGCCACATGTGTAATAGCCCTGTGCTCAGCAGCCTTTTGGACCACATTATGGCCCTTCTACATTACCATACGAAATCCAGATTATCTGCTTTGAACTGAATTATATGGCAGGGTAGAAGGGGCCAGGATAACCTGCAGTCTTCTCAAAGATGCTGAACTCACAAAAGTCCAGTCTGATTTAGACAAATGTGACACATGTCAGGAGCTGCCATCGGCCATCATCTGGGATCCAGATTCCCTGTAGATGCCATACAAAATGGATGATACAGACTGCCAAAATGGATGATATGCACTGCCTAGAGAGGCCCCCAAACAGTTCCAATGGGTAAGTGAAACCATGGATATCGAGTCTGTGATTAAGAGGATCATACAATGGTTGAGATCCTGCATTACCAGACATTTGTACCTAGCAATTAAAATGGCTTCAGCATGGTAAAGTAAAGGTAAAGGTTTCCCCTGACATTAAGTCTAGTTGTGCCTGATTCTGGGGGGCAGTGCTCATCTCCATTGCTAAGCTGAATAGCCGGTGTTGTTCGTAGACACCTCCAAGGTCATATGACTGGCATGACTGCGCCGTTACCTTCCTGCAGAAGCATTACCTAATGATCTACTCACATCTGCATGTTTTCGAACTGCTATATTGGCAGAAGCTGGGGCTAACAACAGGAGCTCACACCTGCTTCCCGTATTTGAACCACTAACCTTTTGGTCAGCAAGTTCATCAGCTCAGCGGTTTAACCCACTGCACCACAGGGGTATCAGAATGGTACTAATCCAGATATTCCAATGCAAATTCTAGCGAAAGCAGTGACACTAAAGTTCTGGAGGGGTGCAGACAATGATACTCACTCCTGCATACTAACAAAAAAATCCAAAATAATACCAAGACTTACTGTTTCCTATTTATAACCAATATTCTAGAATTGATTTCTATTATTATTATTATTATTATTATTATTATTATTATTAATCCAGATATTCCAATGCAAATTCTAGTGAAAGCAGTGACACTAAAGTTCTGGAAGGGTGCAGACAATGATACTCACTCCTGCATACTAACAAAAAAATCCAAAATAATACCAAGACTTACTGTTTCCTATTTATAACCAATATTCTAGAATTCATTTCTATTATTATTATTATTATTATTATTATTATTATTATTACCCCACTTTTCTCTTCACAAGGAGACATACATTAAAAGCATTTCAATACAATTTAAAAACCTACAAATATATAAACACATATATAATATATAAACATTAAAACACAATTAAATTATCACTGGTATTCTACATCATTTTCTGTGAACTTGAACCACAACTGCAAACATCTACAGCTGGAACCGACCCATGTTGCAGCCTTCAAACCACTTCCTAGACCAGTGGTTCTCAACCTGTGGGTCCCCAGATGTTTTGGCCTTCAACTCCCAGAAATCCTAATAGCTGGTAAACTGGCTGAGATTTCTGGGAGTTGTAGACCAAAACACCTGGGGACCCACAGGTTGAGAAACACTGTCCTAGACTATTAGTGAGGAAGGAAATTTTATTTGGTGAGATGATTAACTGTCTTCTCCAAAATGAGAGTAAACTAAATTTTATAGTTAAGGTGTTGTTCCTGAATTTGAAAAGTTTAAAATCATCACACCAAAAAAAAAAAAAACCCAAAAAAAACAAAAAACAAAACACAACTTTCCATAAAGGATATCAGGTATCCTTCATTGTTTAGGGGGTACTGTTTCAAAAACTGGAAAAAAAAAAGTATCTTGTTACGAAATGAAACTAAATGGAGGGAAGCCGGTCCCATGCTATTCTGCTTTGGTCAGACCTCACCTGGAACATTGTGTCCAGTTTTGGCCATCACAATTCAAGAAGGATATTGACAAACTGGAACATGTCCAGAGATGACCGATCAGAAGGATCAAAGGTTAGGAGACCGAGCCCTAAGAGGAGTGACTTAGATATGTTTACCTTGGAGAAAAGACAGCTGAGAGGGGACATGATACCCAAATGTTCAAATATTTAAAAGGATGTCAAACTGAGGAGGGGGCAAGCTTGATTTTTTTTAAGGGAAAACTACCCTAAAATAAACAGAGCATCCAAAAATAAATAGGATATAAAAGTTGAGCATTAGCTCAATAGCAAGCAGAGCATGAAGCGACATGTGATGTTACTGTAAAGAATTCACAGTTTAGGAGGCAAACATGCAGAGCCAATCTTTAAAAATAAAAAAGGTTTAATTACACTAACAATAACTGTGTTTCTTAATAATCAAGAACTGGGTCTGAACTTCTTTAATACCCATCTCATCTAAGGTTTCAAGAGAGGGAAAAACTCAGTCACTACATCTCTCCTGACACACAAGCAGAGAGAGATCTCAAAGCACACAGCACATACTCTTCATACTAAAGTGTATGAAGTCAGAACTCAGAAAAGCTTGCAGTAGAAAAGTATCCATTTTAAACAACCAATCAGAATGAGAGCAGAGAGATGAAAAAGATACATTCCCAACTGTCATACAGGAGACATGGGAGAAGGGAAACCCTAAGACTATTCTTATGCTAACTAGGAGGGTTGAATGAAAAGTAATGCCTCCAAGTAACTCCTCAACAGATAGCAGTACTGGTATGCGGCATGTACTGGCTTGTTCAGTAGACTCTCCTCTACAGTTCCATTTTGGCGGGAAGCCTTAGCATTGAACACTTGTGTCGTTAAAGCGTGAAGTATGGAACCCTGCGCAGGTCGTCAGTCAATGCAACTTAAGCAACGTGCAGTCATTGAATTCTTGAGCAAAAGGTGTCACCCCAAAGGAGATTCATCGGAGAATGCAAGCTGTTTATGGTGACTGTGTTGATGTAAGTACTGTGCATCGTTTGCATTCTCTGATGAATATCCTTTGGGGTGACACCTTCTGCTGTCAAGAATTCAATGACAGCACGTTGCTTAAGTCGCATTGACCAACCGTCTGCGCAGGGTTCCATACTTCACACTTTAACAATACAATTGTTCAATGCTAAGGCTTCCTGCCAAAATTGAACTGTAGAGGAGAGTCTACTGAAGAAGCCAGTATCTGCCGCATACCAGTACTGCCATCTGTTGAGGAGTTACGAAGGTGGAGGCGTTATTTTCATTCAACCCTCATAACTTCTCCTTGAGACTTGGGCAGTGTGGGGTTGAATTCCAACCGATTTCTGATACTCTGGAGACTAGGACACCAAGAAATGAATTCAAATTTCAGGGGAAAAGATACCACTTAAACATTAGGAAGAATTTTCTAACAGTAAGAGCTGTTCAACCGTGGAATATACCGCTTGCGAGTGTGGTGGAGTCTCCTCTGGAGATCTTTAAGCAGAGGCTGAATGGCTATCTGTTAAGAGTGCTTTGATTGCACATTTCTGCAAGGCGTGGATTGGACTGGATGGCCCTTGGGGTCTCTTCCAGTTTTAGGATTCTATGAATTTGTAAAATCAGGCATGAGAATGACAGAAGTGGATCTGTGCGACACAACCATGACACTTTGATATTAGTTACCTGTGGAAGCACTAGATACGGTGGTAGCTACAGTTGTGGACTGCGGTGGGCTGCTGCTTTCCAACAACAGGCAAGAGCCATTTGTGCTGCCCTCTTTCTTCACATACATTTCGGTGGCATTGGGCAAAGGGATGGGGTGGCTGATCCCCAGCTCCTCCTCTTGAGCTTGCTGCCTTCTCAGCGCAACCTGGAGGCAAGAAAGTTGGAACACGTTTGCTCTCTACTTTGGAAAGTGGTTTAACATGATGGGAGCCAGAGTTAAAATGTCATTCTGAATACACTGCAAGCCAAGAAAGGTAAAGGCATGAAATGGAGGCAAAAGACAGACACCTGTACAATGACATATCAACAGATGGTGATTTAATAATGGTAGTAGTAGCAATAGGTAGGGTGGTGTAGTGGTTTGAAGGTTAGACTGGGTCTAAAAAGGAAAAAGTAAAGGTTTTCCCCTGACATTAAGTCCAGTCGTGTCCGACTCTGGGAGTTGATGCTCATCTCCATTTCTAAGTCGAAGAGGCGGCGTTGTCCATAGACACCTCCAAGGTCATGTGGCCAGCATGACTGCATGGAGCCCCATTATGTTCCTGCTGGAGTGGTACATATTAATCTACTCACATATGCATGTTTTCGAACTGCTAGGTTGGCAGAAGGCCACTCCTGCATTTTAGACCTGCGAGCAGGATTTCTCTCGAAGTCACAGCACTTGAGCTATGAAGGTGGAGAGAAATGCAGTCCCAACAGCAAGAGAACAAGCTGTGCCTGCTTTGATACTTTTGTGCTTGCAGACAACCTTTCTGCAACAGAACTATGGCCCCTTCTACACTACCCTATAAAATCCAGATTATCTGCTTTGAACTGGATTATATGGCAGTGTAGACTCATATAATCCAGTTCAAAGAAGATAATGTGGATTATCTGTTTTGATAATCCGAATTATAGGACATTGTAGAAGGGGACTAAGGGCCCTTCCACACAGCCACATAACCCAGAATATCAAGGCATAAAATCACACAATATCTGCTTTGAACTGGATTATATGAGTCTACACTATGTTCTATGTTCTTTCTCAGCCATATTATTTTGTTGTTGTTTACAATTGTGATTGTTTTTGTATTTTATCTGATGCTTTTAATTTGATTGTGTTTTATCTGTAATTGTTGGGCTTGTCCCTTGTAATTTATTGTAATTGCCATTTGGGCTTGGCCTCATGTAAGCCGCTCCGAGTCCCCATTGGGGAGATGGTGGCGGGGTAATAAATAAAGATTATTATTATTATTATTATTATTATTATTATTATTATTATTAAGCTGCCCTGAGTCCCCTTGGGGAGATGGCTGGCGGGGTATAAAAATAAAATTATATTATTATTATTATTATTAATTATTATTATTTTACACTGCCATCTAATCCAGACCTATTTTTAAACAGTAACTCTCAAGCAACCAGAAACTGCCTGCATTTTTCTAGCAACTACCCATCCCTATGGATGCCAGTTAAATGACAGTCTCCTGTAGTTAACAATGTGTGATGTCTATTAAAGAATTAACTTTTTAAAAAAAGTTAGGTACATTATATCACCAAAAGCACTTTAGGGACACTGCAGACTAGTTGTTAAACTTCAAAATTAAGCTGCTAAGGTTGCAAATCCCATCTAGATACTAGAGTAACTCTTCTGAAATCAGAAGAGCAGACAAATACATTAGTTCAATTGTGACAACTGCTATTTCAAAGTATTCAAAGTAGGGCACATATGTATCAACCATTAAAACCACTCAAAAGACTAGAGGTTTCTTAAAAGTTTATAATGACTAGTAATTGGGTTTATTTTAAGATTAAAGGGTAAGGAAATCTGTTTAAATTAAAGAATTGCATATACTGAGACATAAAATGGGGTCACTTTCTCCAAAGGACTGATTGATAATAATTTGAACTTCTGGTATACAGAAGGTAAGGAGAGGAAAATAACATTCATTTGATTACAGTTTTATAAGGAACCCCCAGTGGGGCAATGGGTTAAACCCTTGTGCCGGCAGGACTGCTGACCGAAAGGTCAGTGTTTCAAATCTGGGGAGCAGGGTGAGCTCCTGTCTGTCAGCTCCAGCTTCTCATGTGGGAACATGAGAAAAGCCTCCCACAGGATGGTAAAATATCCGAACGTCCCCTGGCCAATGTCCTTGCAGACGGCCAATTTTCTCACACCAGAAGCGACTTGCAGTTTCTCAAGTCGCTCCCGACATGACCCCCCCCCCAAAAAAACACCCTTTATAATGGAGAAGGAAATAATTAAATGAATTTTCATGCGCTAATTTGTACCTCAACATTTTGACCTATCACTTGTATATACATATACATGTACATCTTAGGGTGTTAAAATCTCTTAATGACAGAAGATGAGAGGAAAATATTCAAATAATTACTCTCTGTATATACAGAGAGCCAACCATATTGAAAATATACAGATTTCCTACTGTTCACTGAAATCCTGTAGTGAAACAGGACGCCTGGAGGACCCTGTTGCCTCATTAGGGCTGCAATGCAATCCTATGCTCACTAACTTGAAAGCAGGCATCATTGGGAGAAAGTGGACTCACCTCTATCTTGAGAATGAGTGCCCCACTATTTACCACTCACTATATCACTATGACCAACAGGTCGCAGGTTCGAATACGGGGGGAGCGCGGATTAGCTCCTTCTGTCAGCTCCATGTGGGGGCATGGGAGAAGCCTCCCACAAGGATGGTAAAACATTAAAACTTCCAGGCGTCCCCTGGGCAATGTCCTTGCAGACGGCCAATTCTCTCACACCAGAAGCAACTTGCAGTTTCCCAAGTTGCTCCTGACACGAAAAACTTCTGAATGTCATGCGCATGACTGCCTCACTCTTCACTCTATCACTACTCACCTATGACTATCCTGCTATTCATTATTCCACTACCCACTTCTAACTTAAGCACGCCAGCCTACTCAGTGGTGGCCCCCCGACTCTGGAACTCACTTCCAAAGGATATCAGGCATGCCCCAACACTGGCAGTCTTTAAGAGGAGCCTGAAAACGTGACTATTCCAGTGTGCCTTCCCGGAATAAAGGAATAACTCCCAGCAAAATGTCCTTACAAATGCACTTTAATCATTGGGTTGCGTTGGACTGTACCCCTCATTTTTTAAAACCCCCACTTTTTAAAAACCCTATCTTGTCATACCCAGCGTTATTATTTTTTAAATTTTAAATCATTACAACTGGCCTGGCCATAAGCTTTTAAATCCTGTGTGTTATTGTTATATGTGATTTATATTATTTTGCATTGCTTTGTATTGTTGTTATTGCTTTTCTGTTGTGATGTGTTGTTGGGCTTGGTCTCATGTAAGCCGCTCCGAGTCCCTTGGGGAGATGGTGGTGGGGTATAAATAAAGCTTTATTATTATTATTATTATTATTATTATTGTTATTATGTGTCTGCCCCACTATTCACTTATAACGATTTTGAGTGCCACTGCACACTATTCACCCAAGCCAACCCTGACAGGGACCGCCTTCCACCTGGAAAGCGATGTACTCAGTGGAAGAACATGTGGGTCAAGAATAGGGCTCCACAGTCACCGCCAAGACACTACACTTGGAAGGCCATCATACTTGGGACAACAAGGGACCGCCTAAGTAATTCACCACATGGCCATTTATCTATAACTACCTTAAGCATGACGATTCCACTATTCACTATTGTCTTGTGCATGGCTGTCCAATGTCCACTCAAGCCAGAAGTGAACAGTGAAATAATCATGCTCAAGGTAGTCATAAGTGACTAGTGAACTACATCTCTATTCACTTATGACTATCTTGAGCATTATTATTTCAATGTTCCCTTCTGTCTTGAGTGGAATAGTGATACAGTTCACTATTGACTTATGACTATTGTGAGAATGAGAATTCACTCTGTCTTGAGTATTATTCCCCTATTCACTATGGCTCCATTACACTGACTAGCAGTGCAGACTCATATAATCCATCTTGAAGCTGATAATCTGTATTATTGGATTTGATAACACTATGTAAAACATGTCTTTTCCTAATTGGTTCTATCATAAAAACATGGAAAAAGTTTCTTAAATTGCAAAAACTTGTTTTTTGCGGGACATCCTGCTGCACATTTTGCTATAGTCTTTCAATTACTATCTTACTGCATCTCAACCCATTCAACATACTTTGTGGCAGCTGTAAAAATGAAGTTTCTGGACTACTTTCAAAGCAAGTACGACACAATTAAACAGGAAACACTTTCAAACCTGAATTATATGGCGGTGTAAATCCCGCCTCATATGATCCAGTGCAGAGCAGACAATTTGGATTAACTTCTTTGACAACGCTATGTAACAACATTTGCAAAAATGTTCTGTTCCTGGTTTGAAAGTGTTATTTCCCATTTTATTATGCAGGACATACTTTGAAAGTAGTTGTTATAGTCCAGAAACTTCATTTTTTGCAAACTATTTTGAATTGGTTGAGACGTTTATGTGAGATATTCACTGCAAGAACATAGCAAAATCTGCTAAGGCAGGATATTCCGCAAGAACAGTTTTTGCAGTGTTTTCCGGGCATGATGGCCATGTTCCAGAAGCATTTTCTCCTGATGTTTTGCCTGCATCTGTGGCAGGCATCCTCTGAGGTTGTGAGGTCTGTTGGAAACTAGGAAAATGGAATGTCCAGGGTAGAAGAACTCTTTCTGTTTGAGGTAGGTGTGAATGTTTCAACTGGCCACCTTGATTAGCACTGAATGGCCTTTTAGTTTCAAGGTCTGGCTTCTAACTGCCTAGGGAAATCCTTTGTTGGGAGGCGATTAACTGGCCCTGATTGTTCCTTGTTTGGAATTCCCCTGTTTTTGAGTGTTGCACAGTAAGAGGCCATTCAATGCTAGACTCAAATGAGGAAGTCATGGAACTGGCTTTGCAAGATTTGATCAGAATGTCTTAGGCTGGATCTACACTACCAATATAATGCAGTTTGAACTGCATTACAGAACCATATAATGCACTTCAGTGCAATTCAAACTACATTATTGTTGTGTAGAACCATATAGTGGACCTCAATGCAAGATACTTGCCATAGATGCAGGCGAATCGTCAGGAGAGAATGCTTTTGGAACATGGCCATACAGCCCGGAAAATTCACAACAAGCCAGTGATTCTGGCCATGAAAGTCTCTGACAATATAAAGTGTTTGCAGTTTTAATACACTTTCCCCGTGTTTTGAATGATATAACCAATTAATATGTATAACCCAGGAGCAAAAAATCGTGTTGCAGACTGATTAGACGGCAGCGTAGAACCAGCCTCCCTGCTACTCATTGTGTCCCCTGCGTCCCAAGATCTGATCCCAAATTATCTGCTTTGAAGAGGATATTCTGGGGTTAGACCCTGGGATATAGGGCAGTGCTGGTCCAGCCTCCCTGGACTATCCTGCTACTCACTGTGTGCCAGGATCTGACCTCAGATTATCTGCTTTGAAAGGGATATTCTGGGGTCAGACCCTGGTGTCCACTTTGGGTGGGATGCAATCTGGGGCCAGACCCAGGGATATAGGGCAGTGTAGATCCAGCCACTACTCTCTATCCTCTTTGGGTGGGATGCAATCTAGGTCAGATCTTGGGATATAGGGCAGTGTAGATCCAGCCACTATTTCCTAGTGTCCACTTTGGGTGGGATGCAATCTGGGGTCAGACCCTGGGATATAGGGCAGTGCTGATCCAGTCACTCTTCCCTATCTCCTTTGGGTGGGATGCAATCTAGGGCCAGACCTAGGGATATAGGGCAGTGCAGGTCCAGCCACTATTTCCTAGTGTCCACTCTGGGTGGGATGCAATCTGGGGTCAGACCCTGGGATATAGGGAGTACTGATCCAGTCACTCTTCCCTATCCCCTTTGGGTGGGATGCAATCTGGGGTCAGACCCTGGGATATAGGGCAGTGCAGATCCAGCCACTATTTCCTTGTGTCCACTTTGGGTGGGATGCAATCTGGGGCCAGACCCTGGGATATAGAGCAGTGTAGATCCAGCCACTACTCTCCATCCACTGAGTAGGATGCAAGCTCAAGCTGGAGGGAGCAGAGGTTTCCCTGCAAGGTGTCCTGGGCGGGAAGACCTTTCTCTCTCTGTGTGTGCCTCTGTTTCTCTTTCCCTTACCTGGGCGGCCATGACCCGCTGCCTCTCGGCGATGAGGGAGCACTTCTTGCACTGGCAGTCCCTCCACATGCAGAAGCGCTTGTGGCCCTTCAGGGGCGAGGAGTAGCCGTGGTTCCTGCACCGGGCGCACTTGGGCAAGCGAGGGGCCTTCTTGCCCGGGGCCTGGGCGCCTCCCGAGGAAGAGGAGGAAGCCTTCCCCAAGGGCCCCGCTTTGCCATTCTGCTCCGAGGAGGAGGACGAAGAGGAGGAAGCCTTGTTGAAAGAAGACCCACCACCAGCAGCAGCAGAAGAAGAAGACTCGTTGGGCATCGCGCGCTCCAAGCTCGAGCTCAAGCTCTCCTCGGTTGAGAGGGAATTGCTCCTTGGAGGCTGCCTTGGGCGAGTGGGCTGCAACTTCTTCCAATCTCCAGGCGTGCAACCCTGGCCACCTTTTCCCCTGGCCTGCAACCCTCTTTTGCAAAGCTCCAGCTCCCTGGGACTTGTCTCCAAACGCAGCCGCTTTTTGCAAAAGGAGCGCGCGAAGTGGCACAACTTTTTAATTTGGATACATTTGAAGGATGGAGGGTTTTCTTTTGCTCCGCCCCACACCTGCCTCCCCCAACTCTCTCTTCCCGCCTCTTTGGCCCTCTCTCCTTCAGAGCAAGGCTGTCACTTTCCTTCCAAAGGAAAGGGAATGATGTATTTCTTGTAGGCCAAGTTGCAGAGGGGTTCCCTCCTTTCCAAAGCCCCTTTGCAAAAGAGTAGCCAAAGCCAAGCAAGGGGGGAGAGGGGGGGTAAGCCTTCCTTGCTTAGGATGCAGAATTCATGCACTTTGTGACCCTACCTACCTTTAGGAAAGAGAGTGGTATTTAATACTGTACATGTAGAATTAATGCACTTCGACCCCCATCTGCCTTTAGGATAGAGGGTGATATTTGATTGGGTTTGGGTGCATCTACATGTAGAATTAATGCACTTTGACACCTCGCAGTGTAGATGTGACCATAGGAAAAATAGTCAATATTTAATACTGATTGATTTAGGGTGCATCTGCACCAGAATTAATGCACTTTTATACCACCCGATGGAGATGTGGCCGGGCTGTACAGCCATGTTCCAGAAGCATTCTCTCCTGACATTTTGCCTGCATCTATGGCAGGCCTCCTCAGAGGTTGTGACCTCACAACCTCTGAGGATACCTGCCATAGATGCAGGCAAAACTTCAGGAGAGAATGCTTCTGGAACATGTCCGTACTGCTCGGAAAACTCACAAAAACCCATAGTCATATTTTCCTAATTGATTTCAGGTGCATCCACATTGTAGAACTAATGCACTTGTAGATATGCCCAATGTAGATATGCCCGTAGGAAAGGGTCATATTTATTGCTGTTTAGGGGGTACGGTGGGTTAAAGCACTGAGTTGCTGAACTTGTGGACTGAAAGGTCGGAGGTTGGAATCCGGGGAGTGGGGTGAGCTCCTGCTGTCAGCCCCAGCTTTTGCCAACCTAGCAGTTCAAAAACATGCAAATGTGAGTAGATCAATAGGTACCACTCCCAGCAGGAAGGTAATGGCGCTCTATAAAGTCATGCCGGCCACATGACCTTGGAGGTGTCTACGGACAATGCTGGCTCGCCATCTTAGAAATGGAGATGAGCACCACCTCCCAGAGTCGGATATGACCGGACTTAATGTCAGGGGGATACCTTTACCTTTAGAGTGCATCTATGGCCCCATCTACACTGCCATATAAAATCCAATGTAGACCCATACAATCCAGTTCAAAGCAGATAATATGGATTATCTGATTTGATATTCTGGATTATATGGTAAGTGTAGGACAGCAAGAATGAAGGTAATGTAAGGCTGTGGATGTCATTGGGACTGCACCTCTCATCATCCTAGGCTATTAGGTATGATGGCACAGGCTGATGTGAGCTGCAGCCCAACCAGCTCCTCCATTTTTCTTCCTTTTTAGAATCTCCCACTTCCACTTAAATGCAGCAGGAAGAATTGGATGGCGGTTTTTTCTGAAGGATGAGTATACATCTCTTTTACTTCTGTTACCCATTTGGTACAAAACAGGGTTTGGAAATCTTGAATAATAACCTCTACAAAACAGAGGAAGAATGAATGCAGTTGGACCTCATTTTAAGGCCATGGCTCAATGCAGTGGAATTCTGGGAGTTGTAGTTTGGTGAGGCACCAGCACTCTGGCAACGAAGGCTAAAGACCTTCAAAGCTAGAACTGCCATGATCCCATAGCACTGAGACGTGGCAGGTAAAAGTGGTGCCATATTGCATTCATTCTATGGCGTAGATGTATCTTTGGAGAGGAACCAAAACATAATAACAAAACCTTGGGTAGATTTATACCAGGCATGGCCAAACTTCAGCCCTCCAGGTGTTTTGGACTCCAAGTCCCATCATTCCTAACAGCCTCAGGCCCCTTCCTTTCCCCCCTCAGCTGCTTTAAGTGGTCATGAAACTATTCACAAAAATAATGAAACAAATTAATGAAAATAAACATGAAACTATTCACAAAATATCACAAAATACTCACAAAAATGTTTGCAAAATATATCGACATAAAACATATACACAAAAATATTTGCAAAACCTTTTCACAAAAATAACCAAAAAATTCACCAAAAATAATTAAAATATTCACAAAAATAATCATGAAACTATTCACAAAAATATCACAGCTTAAGTGGCTGAGGGGGCGGGGGGGGGGAGGATGGGGCCTTGAGGCTGTTAGGAATGGTGGGAGTTGAAGTCCAAAACACCTGCAGAGCTCAAGTATGCCCATGCCTGGTGTAGGATGAGTTTGGCACCACTTTAACTGTCATGACTCTGTGCTATGTCATCCTGAGTTGTAGTGTTACAAGGTCTCCAGCCTTCTTTGCCAAAGAGTGCTGGTGACTTACAGAACTAAACATCCCAGGATCCTATGACATTGGCCCATGGCACTTGACATGGTGACAAGCTACATTCATTCTACAGTGTAGTTCCCCCTATTGGTTCCCTCCAGTTTGTGGCTCCTCCTGTCTTTTCTGCAAAAATAATCACAGAGAGAAGAAGAATGTGCTTTAGTTTCTAACTTTGAGCGGGGAGGGCTACAGAAACATCTTGTGAATGTGGTTAATGTTGTGTGGAACACAAGAAACAACCCTTTTAATTTGAATAATAATTCCTAGAACCCGTGGCTGTTTAATTCAAATGATCGGAGGGTTACACACAGCTTCTTGCTCCGAGGAAGGAGAGGCACAGTTATTAAAGATGAACATTATCCATTGCTGACAGCCATATCTTGTTATGGAAACCTCCTTCTCTGGAAATGGCTTCTCCCACACTAGGAAATGTGAGTCAGGAGGAGGAATGAAGAAAACATTAACATTTCAACATGTGCAGCATGTGTCGCAGGTGACTTTGCTATACAGTTCCAGAAAATACAAAAAAATCAGTTTATATCTGATTTGCCTTTTAAAGGTATCCAGGTTGATGACCAGTTTTCCTTACCTATAATACACCTCTTGCCTGAAATTGAGACAGGTTTTCTCATTTGTAACTTCCTTGGACATTTTCAGTTAAATCCGGTTTCAGCATTGGACTACAGCTCCGGAGACCAAGGTTTGAGTTCCCGTTCAGCTGTGAAAACCTACTGGATAACCTTGGGTAAGTAACACATTCTCAGCCCCAAAAAACCCTTTGATAGGTTTTCTTTTAGGGTCACTATAAAAGGCACACAATAATAACAAAGGAATTGTGAGGCCCTTCAAATGTTGCAGAGCTGCAATTCCTGGCCAACAGAGGTCCCTTCTACACTGCCACATAAAATCCAGATTATTGGTTTGAATTGGATTATGTGGCAGTGTAGACTCATATAATCCATTTCAAACCAGATAATGTGGATTATCTGCATTGATAGTCTGGATTATAGGAGCCCCTGGTGGTGCAGCGGGTTAAACTGAGCTGCGGAACTTGCTGACTAGAAGGTTGGTGGGTTCAAATCCAGGTAGCAGGGTGAGCTACTGCTGTTAGCCCCAGCTTCTGCCAACCTAACAGTTCGAAAACATGCAAATGTGAGTAGATCTATAGGTACCGCTCTGGCGGGAAGGTAACGGCGGTCCGTGCAGTCATGCCAACCACATGGAGGCGTCTATGGACAACGCCAGCTCTTTGGCTTAGAAATGGAGATGTGCACCACCCCTCAGAGTCGGATGTGACTAGACTTAATGTCAAGGGGAAACCTTTACCTTTAGTCTGGATTATATGGCAGTGTAGAAGGGGCCACAGGTCCCATTTGAAACTTAATTATATAGCAATGTAGAAGGGTCCAGAGCCAGCAGTAGGAAATATTCCAACCAAATCTGAAAAGTTGCAAAAACAACCCACTATTGACTTACAAATACATTTAAAAACACTAGGGTCACTATTTCTCCAATACATTCAGGTCCCTTCTACACCCCCATATAATCCAGATTATCAAAGCAGATGATCTGGATTTTATATGGCGGTGTAGGAAGGACCTCAAATGTACATGTAAAATGAAACCACCAGGTCAGTTAGTCCTTGCAGAAGTAAACAAAACATAGGATTGCCTTCGGGTCACCATAGGTTGGAAACAACTTTAAGGTACACAACAACAAGAAGACATTGTGGACATTTCCAACAGGCACCCAATAATGACTTTTTCTTTCAACAGCTTCCACCTTTCTTATGATGTTAATGGCCAAATCTAGGGGGTTACATGATTTTAACCCTTGATTTGGGTGCACAGAGGTCACTGTTTTTAGCTAGTTGTGTCACACAGATGTACCTCGATTAACAAAATAAATGTATTCCTGGGCATTACCTCTTTCACAGAAAATTTGGTAGCCAATGTGCTGTTTCTGAGCTTTCAAAAATAATAATGGGGGAACTGGTCAAGCAATTTTATCTGATCTCCCAATTTCTCTGTTTTGTTGTTGCTCAGAAAGGGATTATGCAGCAGCTGCTGTTTACCTTGCCTTGCCTATTGTAGGCAGGTACACACAACTTCAGGCAGGTATGCACAACTATTGGACAACTATTGCAATGCGCTCTACGTGGGGCTGCCCTTGA